TTTTCCCCTTTCCGTCAATTTTTTTTGCTTTGAAGGGCTTTGATCAAGATGAGGCCCCAATTGGGGCCGGATCCGCGGGGAAGTTCAACCTAGGCACAACGTGGCAAGGTTTCGTTTATACTCGCGTTGGAGCTGGGCCGGGCCTCAAAGGCCCAAAGAAGTCGAGTGAATCTGTTTGACTCTGAGAGGTCAACCTGACAACGAGTCGCAGGCAGCGAGCTTCTACGGTTCGCGAAGGACCAGACGCCGACTTCGGGTTCGAGGGAGAGAAGGGGATGGCGAAGCAGTGAAATGAGGAGGCCCTCTCCCCCCTCCCTCCCCTCCCTGCCCTGGCAATCGAGGGTCAGCCCCCCCTCTCTCTCAAGAGCTGATCCTGGTCCCGCGAAGCCCTATAGGGTCAACAAGCGGGCCAGCAGCAGCGAGACAGCGCGGTGAGAGGTCAGCGCCCTGCCCTGACACCTGGCGCCATCGGGATGCGCGATGCAGCGCTGCACACGCGTGTCATCGTTTTGGGCGAGAGGCTGGGACGGTTGAGGCCCCACGATTAGATTTCGCCTTCGGTGTCTTGAAATGCCATTGTTTGCTTGGTGGCACTTGGCCCGGTGGCACTTGGACGCCGAGCCAAGTGGTTCTTGCCCCAGCGGGCGGTGTTGATCTGTTTCCTAGCGGCAGGACCGACGATCGTGCTCGGGACCTGAGGACTGTCCCGCGTGCCCGCCGGAGCTGAATGAGGGGGGGGGGGCAAAGGGTGCTTTGCCTGAGCGTCAGGTGCCTCCTGACCTGGGACGGGATCCTCTTGCCTTGGCTTGGCTTGCCTTGGGTGCTGCTGCCGCTGCCGCCGGCCGGAAGGCACCTACCTGCCTTAGCTCAGCTCCTGGCTCCTTCCTGCTGCATGTGTCTGCCCTGGGCTGAGATTTGAAGGGGGCAATTGTTCGAGCTGACACTTTCTCGCACATGTTGGGTTTCGCATCTCTTCTCCTTCTCTTTACTCTCCTCCCTTCCCATTCCCTCTTGTCTCTTTCTTCAGTGCCCGGACGAGATCCAGTACATCCCTCGACCATAGTCCACGGATCAGGTGTCACAAAACGTGGCGAGCTAAGTCCACGCGCCTCGGCAGCACGTACCACGAGACGCTTGCCCCTCATCTCCGCCAAAGCTCCCAAGAAATTGCCCCGCCAAATCCTCTCTGACGTTTGACGTCCTCACCAAGAGAGACCACGATTGGCGCCGGACCCAGGCAATTGCTTCCTCGCCAACAACGAACCATCAGTCCTGTCACTCGCTTCACTGCCATGTCTCTCCAGGTCGACGATCGCGGGAGACGGACCCGCTCCCGTTCACCGGGCCGTCGAGAGCGCAGTCGCAGCCCGGCCGTGCCGCACGTAATGGAGGCACGCGAGCCGAGCTACGCGTACCCCGAGGACGATCTCGTCGAGCGCGACCGATATGCACTCGCCGGCCGGCGACCAAGCAGCGT